CATGGATACTCCATGGAGCTAATCCATGGATCATGGAAATGAAGAGTCATGTTACATTAGGATTTACCTAATTCAACACATTATATAAAGCTCATGTTTCTCCAAAAATCGGCTAGAGATGCATACTTGAGGGCTACAGCCGATTTTTGAGTGTTATACTTTCTCTCCAAGTTTACTCCATTGCATTTGGTGTTGTGTGAAGCATTTGAGGCATCAAACTTGGGGTGCTAGGCTGACAAGGTTTCAAGGAATCAAATTCAACAGCAAGGTATGTTATTCTATCTATCATTTAAGTTAAAATGTTCCCTATGTATGCTAGATAGGATCATGAACCTTAGAAATCAATTTTGCATGAATCTTAGAAAAACATATATCCAAGGTTTATTAGGGTTGCATGTACACTTAGGAAGTGTTAGAATGCTATAATCCCATCATATAGATGGTGATACCTTTATCAGTGATAGTACACTGGTAAATTTAAATGAACCAGCTGATGGGTTTTGAACATTCTAACACTCCTAATGTGTATATGCAACCCTAGAATCCTTGGATCTATGTTTTACTAAGATACATGCAAATTTTCTTTTCCAAGGTTCTTAACCAAACTAGCATGACATGGGAACTTTGAAACATAAAATTAGAGTTACATACCTTTTGGTAGTGGTGATTGCTTGGAGTTTGAGAGCCTAGCACCAATAATGTGGATACCTCAAATGGAAGTCATAAATCACCACAAACCTTGGAAACTTGAGAGAGTCGTAGAACACTTCTAGAAATCGACCACCCTTAGTTCTCACACAAAACTAGTGCCAAGGGCTCCTTTATATAGTGTGGTGGATTAGGGTTACATCCATGTAAAACCTAATACCCATGACCTTCATTTCCCTGAGGTCCATGGGTTAAAGCTCCATGGACTTACCATGTAAGCCTAGCCCATTCTGAATAAGCATTATCCCACACTATATAAATACAAAAGTCCATATTTAATTAGTCACCTTTTTTATTACTAAATTAATTCTAAATTAATTTTAGATCAAGACTAATTATATAATATGATTTCATATTAATATATTATAACTTATAATATATCAATAAATCAAAACTTATACTATTCTCAAAAGATTATCCATATAAATTGTTTGGGTGAAGTGCAACCCAAATGGAACATGTCGGGTCAGGTCAAGTACACATCTCAAATATAGTTATGGACTTAGACACCTTATCCAACAGTATCCCACTTGGATAAGTCTAATAAATGTAGTTGCAATTATGAATTCAAGAACCGACTGACAATCGTAGCTCTTAAAACTGTGTTGAACTATGAAGCACCATTTTAGATAAGGGATCATATAATCCTCTGTTCTAGATATCAGTCGGACAAATACATGGAACAATGTCTTACTTATTGTCCAATAGTTTGTTTCCCGATTTCAGATTTTTTTGACATAAAATTTAATTGAACACATCAATTTAGTTCTGACCGGGCCCGGTACATGGTTCAACACAAAATCATCGAGGGGCCCATATATCGCTTCTAATCTAAGAAGGAATAGATAAACTTTTACTCATATGCTTGTTTAACTACTTGTTGAATCATACACAAAGGCACGTTTTATAACATCGAGTTACCAATGCATTTTCGTACAATCAATGTATAACCAACTCACAGTCAACAAATCATATCTCTGGGTTTGAAGACTTATATGATATTACCATCTCACGGTTACTCGAGATAAATTCCATGAAGTGATACAAGCAAGCGTGGGTTGAATCCAATACTTAGAACATATGAGCACTCATGAGTGTTGTAGCAACTCTTGCTATGTCCAACAACTTAGACATCTATAAGCCAACTTCATGACAGTCTTGATTCATATCTAATTCCAACATATGACCAACTATGGAGAATTTGAATAAGATGATATACCACAACATAATTATTCTGGAAGTCAAAACATGCAAATTGAAATGATAGTAAACGATTGACAAAAGATAGCAACACTTTACTTATAAATAAACAACTTTTATTTGTCATCAAATGTCAATTACACTTTACAAATTTCAAAGCTATCTAATTTCTAAAACTAATATCATCCTTTAGCCCTATGCGCCTCGCATGCTGAAGATGCTTAACCCTACTCAGTCCCTTCGTGAAGGGATCTACTGGGTTCTCATCCAATGATACCCTCTTTGCCATGAGGAGTCCTTATTCTATTCGAAGTATGATGAAGTGATAATTTCAGTCATTGTGCCTAGATCTGCCATGATCTCTTGATTCCTTGGCTAAGGCAACCGTAGTATTGCTTTCACAGAAAATCTCCATAGGCTCCTTTATAGCTGGTACAACTCCATGGTCTTCGATGAAGTTCTTCAGCCATATCGCCTCCTTTGCTGCCTCTCTTGCTACTATATACTCTGACTCGCAAGTTGAATCAACCACTATATCTTGCCTGTAACTTTTCCAAGTAACTGCTCCTCCGTTTAAGGTAAAGACCCATCATGATTGAGAACGGAAATTATTCGTATCAGTCTGGAACCTAGAATCACTATATCCTACTACTCTCAAGTCATTACTCTTACCAAGGGTAAGGACCCAGTCCTTAGTCCTCCACAGTTACTTGAGAATGTTCTTTGCCGCAGTCCAGTGAGCCTTGCTAGGGTTCCCCTGATATCTGCTGACCATGCTCAATGCAAAGGCCACATCAGGACAAGTACAAGTCATATCATACATGATCGAGCCTACAACAGAAGCATATGGAACTCGACTCATCTCTGCTATCTCAGCCTCTATACTCGGGCTCTGAGTCTTACTCAGTATGGCGTTACTCTGGGTCGGTAACTCACATTTACTGGAGTTCTGCACATTAAACCTTTTCAACACTTTATCCACATAGGTGCTCTAACTAAGTTCAATTAGTCTCTTACTCTTTTCTCTCAAAGTTATTATCCCTAGGATATAGGCAGCTTCTCCAAGGTCCTTCATAGTGAAACACTTCCCAAAACAGAACTTCACTTCCTGTTGAGTTGGGATGTCATTTCCTATGAAATCAATTAGGGTAATGCTAGCGATAGCGGCCAAGATAAAATCTACTAGGGTAATGCTAGTCATAACTACATTACATGATATGAAATTTGGCAAATGGATGTCAAAAACGCTTTTCTTAATGGGAAGTTGGCTGAGGATGTTTACATGAGTCAGCCAGAGGGTTTTGTAAATGCGAAGTACCATGACAAAGTGTGTAAGATTAAGAAATCAATCTATGGATTGATACAAGCTTCTTGTAGATGTAATCTTTGCTTTAATGAGAAGGTCAAAGATTTTGGTTCCTCTAAAAGTGAAGATGAATCTTATGTATATGTCAAAGCTAGTGGGAGTATAGTAAGCTTCCTGGTTTTGTATGTTGACAGAATACTTCTTGTAGGAAATGACATTCCATCTTTGCAAGAGGTTAAATCTTGCCTTTGAAAGTGTTTTACTATGAAGGATCTTGAAGAGGCTGCTTATATTTTGGTGATAAGGATTTTAAGAGACTGGAGTAAAAGTCTAATCGGACTTAGTCAAACTACGTATTTGGAAGAGGTACTAAAGCGTTTTAGTATGGAAAATTCCAAGAAAGGAGAACTGCCTACATAGAGCAATACCAAACTGAGTACTACTCAGAGTCTGAGTATCAATGTAGAGATAACAAAAACGAGTAGAGTTCCATATGTTTCTGCCGTTTGATATATCATGTATGTTATGAAATGTACTCGTCTCAATGTGGCTTTAGCTTTGAGCATGGTCAGTCATTATCAGGAAATCCAGGTAGAGCTCACTGGATAGTAGTTAAGAATATTCTTAAGTATCTGCAAAGAACTAAGGATTGGGTCCTTGTGCTTGGTGGCAGTGATAACTTAAGAGTAATTGGGTATAGTGACGCCAACTTTCAGACAGACAGAGACACCATTCGTTCTCAATCTGGGTGGGTGTTTTCCCTTAATGGAGGAGCAGTAACTTGGAAAAGTTCCAAACAGGAGACAATGGCTTATTCTACTTGTGAATCAGTGTATATAGGAGCGAGTGAGGCATCAAATGAGGCAGTTTGATTAAAGAACATCAGTGGAGATCTTGGAATTGTTCCATCTATCAAGGACCCAATGGAAATTTTCTGTGATAATAAAGGTGCGGTTCCCTTAACAAAGGAACCAAGAGATCATGGCAGATCAAGACATATCGACAGAAAATACCATTTCATCTGACATAGAGTAAAGGAAGGACAACTTGTCTTGAATAATAACAATAAATGATTATTTATAATTAAACTAAAGGAGTACTATAATAGTTTTTTTGGAAAGAGAATTTTCCTAACAAATGATTCGAGCCCACTTTTGTGCAACAACTAATCGGTGCTATAAATATAAGGCTTTGCATCATGCCATGGAGTCATTGGAGACGAGTCTCCGTTTTTATGAAAGTCGAGTTGTGTTACCCTTTTTTAAACATGGATCAATAAATTATCTATTATATCTTTTACATATCTTAAAAAATCATTACAACCCAAATGATTCTATCTTTGTCGACTTCTTAAGGGAATTCGGACTTTAAAACTATTTATTTTGACAACGTACACTCCTTAATGGCCTCTTATTCCTGATCACTTTATCATTATTAATGATTTTAGCAATCCAACATGATGGCGGGAATTTGGGATCTCAAAATTGCAATAACAATAACATGAAAATAGGTGCTATAAAAATTCACAAATGTATCGAGTATTTATTGATATAGACGTATACTTTGACTTGAATTGCTTGCACATTTTTCTATTACAAATTGACATAAAACTTCACTTAGATACCATTAAAATAACAATTAGAGCGAATTTTACATATAATGATCGCCAATTTCAAATACAAATGCCAGATCTTTTCTCTTTATGACCAAATATCTTGCACTAGTAAATGGTCGTGGGATTCTTCTTAACGCATATGCGGTTATTGATACATATAAAAAATTAAACCTAGATAATTTGGCAAAATGACAGCATCTCCTTGTCATTCTCAAATATTTCCATGTCTTCTTTTTCCAAAACCACTAGCGCCTCGATACCATCTCCATCCGGAGTATCCGTCAACAGGAAACCAATCCGATCTGCGGACCTAACTGCTATAGATGCACCCATAGGCTTCCCCCACCCAAAATCCACTTTGTTATAAGGGAAACCACATAAACTCGAACACCAATACGATCTCTGAGTAACATCCTCTATATCTTCGTTTCCAAGTTTTAACTTCAACGTTTTAAAGTTCTCAGCAGCATGTTCCACGTTTGGAATACCTTCAAGTTTGGACTTTTCTTTCTTCATCTCTTCAACCATCACACTTAAAGAAGTTTCACTTGCATGCCTCGTAGGTATCATCATGATCCCCACGAAGTTTCCCACCATTGTTTGCGGCAGTTTTTCAACAAATTTGTTACGTATATCCACCGGCATAAACAAATAAGATGGCTTAAAGCAACCTGATTTTGTGGTGGCTGCTGACACAGCGGTTTTATAGAGTAAAGAGGTCAACACTTCAACCCGCGTAGGGTTTTTATTAGGTGATGTAGATCCAGCTAACGCCAAGGCGTTGACTTTGTTCTTGAGATCGCTTAATTTTGTGTTAGGGAAAACGAATTTCTTTGTGACACGATTCGCATACCCTTGACTGATAACCTGAGCTTCGGAAAGAATAGAACTTATACTCGGGGAATGAAGGAAACGAGGGTTAAGGGGTTGTACCTCTTTGTGCTCAGTTGAACCATAACGTGTCACCGAAGCCCAATGACTTATAAATGAGACTAAAGTGCAGCCATCACCGATTTTGTGTGACATAGACAATCCCACAATGACTCCACCACAGGCAAAGTGATTGAGTTGAACACCAATAAGACTCTTACTATGAGGAGAGTTGTCACAAAACAGACCATCGGCAAAAAGTTGCTCTACAGTTTCATCTTGTTCGCTAATACAATGCTGGAATGCTTCCAATTGGCTATCATTTTTGGCTTCAAAAAATACAACTCCCTCGTCGTTACAATCAACATAAGGTGTTGTGGGAGTTTGTAACGTTCCTGCAAAGGGGTAGTATCGTGCTAGGCTCTGTGACAACGATTTCTTCATCTTCTGGGCTTTATCGTGAGCTGATAAATTGTTGTTGTCATTGTTTGAGTAGTGGAGAATCAGTGGCATGTACGTGTGTTGGGCTAATTTATCAATTGAGGAAAGATTATAAGTGTGGAGATGAGAAGGGGTTACATGAGAAGGCTTGATTGTTTCTCGAGAGATAATAGTGTGAAGTTGCCTTCTTCCTAATCGTAGGAGCTTCCCTATCATCCTCGTTTACAGGTTTCGTCAAACGCCAAGGGATAGAATTTGTTTTAGGGTTGATATATATATATATATATATATATATATATATATATATATATATATATATATATATATATATATATATATATATATATATATATATATATATATATATATATAAGAATAGTTATTTTGGCATTATCATTATATTAGACCTCTTAATGAATATGATACCACTTATCAATCTATTAGTTCTTCATTTTAAATTTATTATTCCTCTTAATTAATGTGATGTTATTTGTTAATTAATTTTTTTCTCTATTTTAAATTTTAAATTTTATATTATTGTTTTCATTAATTTACAACTAAAAAATGTCTAATATATATTAAAAATTAATTTTATATATTTATTTGAATCAACGATAATAATTTCACATAACTAATAAAAATATCTCGTAATTAATAATTTATTTAAAATAATTAATTAATAATTTTGAAGTTTTAATATAAATGTTTAGTTAGTCTTATAACCGTGGTTTCCACAGGTTATAAACTAATATATATATATATATATATATATATATATATATATATATATATATATATATATATATATATATATATATATATATATATATATATATATATATATATATATATATATATATATGGGTAAAGTGAATATACCTAACAACCTTATATAAGTTTAGGTACCTAACCACATTATACTACGTAATTTTGTATCATATCTGCATTGTAATCACCTAAAGTTCTTAAAATTCAACCTCATAACTTGATTGCTTCCAGAATCTTTGGACCTTCACCATTATCTTCCTTCAAATGACGTCTTTCTATCGGAGACCCCTTGTGGGCTTCATATACTACCGTTCCAAATCAAATGGTGTAGAAGAAATATAATGGTGAATTTTTGAAAATCTTTGAAGTAAATCAAGTTAATGGTTGAAGTTTAAGAACCTTATACTATTGCAATGGAAATATAATGCAAAACAATGTAGTATAATATGGTTAGGTACCTAAGTTTATATAAAGTTGTTAGGTATATTCACTTTACCTTTTATATATATATATATATATATATATATATATATATATATATATATATATATATATATATATATATATATATATATATATATATATATATATATATATATATATATATATATATATATATATATACCTCGTGATCCGGTCAAGAGTGCCGCACCAACGTGTCAAACTAAAGGAAGGTGTATATTTTAACCGTTATGGCAACTTGCATTCCATGCAATACATATCAATAAGTTGCCCGTTTGACTTTCTTAATGGCAACTGCCGGTGTTAAGGTTCTTGGCATCAGTTCCCATTTGCGTTTCATGATTTATTGACTTTATATATTATTGTGATAAAATTCCTTGGTAGCGTAATATATATATATATATATATATATATATATATATATATATATATATATATATATATATATATATATATATATATATATATATATATATATATATATATATATATAAATGTAGGTTCATGCGAAAATATAAATATCTTGCAAAAATGTGAAAACGTATTTTATCTTATAAAAATCAAACACAAGTAATATGAAAATTAAATTTATTAGTAATCGATTAAATATAATAAGTTTACACTGGATTGTGTTGTAATAATATAGATTTAAAGACGGTTTTAACAACTATTTTTTTTTTCACGTTCTTTACCAATTTTAAATTCATGTTTTCAAAATAAAAATATTAAAAATCATGTTTTGCTAATATGAAACAATTTTTCATGTATTATCGATTATTATCATATAGTTCAAAGTTTAGATGAATTATTGTCCAAAATATAAGGTTACGGTGACACAATATCATAGTTTTTTCTTCTTTTCGCGTTTTCGCAAATTATTTGCATTTTCGCATTTACTTTCCCCTATATATATAGGGGAGTGTTCAATTGAAAACATTTCTTATCACGAGAACATTTGACAACAAATTTAGACCATACAATTTTTTTAATTAAAATTATAAAATAATATTCATGTAAATGAAAAAATAGATACAAACAATTAAAAAACCGACTAACTAATATCACTCACAACCCGAACAACACCACCCACCACCACCACCAACCATCACTAACCACTACCACCACCCACCACCCACCACCCATTACTACCCACCACCACGACCATCCATCGCTACCACCACCAACCACCAACCGCCACCACCATCACCACCCAACACCCAACCACCACCACCCACCTCCACCACCCATTACCACCGCCTGTTACCACCACCCACAACCATTAGCTACCACCCATCACCACCACCTGCCATTACAACCTACCACCACTACGCATCACTACCCACCACCACCGACCACTACCCACCACCACCACCCATCACTACCCACCACCCAACACCACCACCACCATCAACAACAACCACCACCACCCAACCACCGCCACTTGCCGCCACCACTACCTACCACACATCACCACCACCCATAAGTACCCACCACTACCCACTACCCATCACTATGCACCACCCACTACCACCTGCCATATATGATTATATGTATTTAATCACATATGATTACAGTGGACAAAGAATAATTATTGAATCGAGAATGTGACAATGAATCTCATCCACATATATATTTAATCACATATGATTTACATGGATGATATTTGTTTTCATGTGTTGATTCAATAGTTGTTCTTATGTATTTAATCACATTTGATTGTATTTATTTAATCACATATGATTCGTATGGAAAATATTTATACTTGCATCGATTCAATAATTGTTATAATATATTTAGTCACATGTGATTATATGTATTTAATCACATATGATTTATTTGGACAAGATCCACTATTTATTTCTTAATTCAATATTTGTACTCATGTACTTATTTGTCACAACTAGAAATTTTGTGTCTTGTAATCATTATACTCAAGTAAAATGATGAACCAAAAACTAAAGAGCATGTGTGATGCTTTCAAAAACTTCAATCAAATACATCATACAAGTACTACAAATAGTCATCAAGCAATTGGAAACCCTATAAGTTCTTGTTTAGGTCCATTTTGGACTAGGACTTCCTTATTGGACCCAAAGGGGCCAATAAGCTTCCAATTTGACTATCATGGGTTTAGAACCTTTTAATGGGCTCTAATTGAACCTACTTTCATTTATTCCAACAATTTGGGCCACATTAGGCCTAGAATGCAATAAATCAACTTTATGAAACATTATGGGCCGTAATTAACTTAAACTAGCCCAACAAGGTATAAAAATCACACTTATATCTTATAATCATCCAAACTAACTCTAATATTGGGCTTATGGGCATTAAAGCCCAAAACTTTCCTTTCCTTTTAAAATTTCGGCCCGAAAGCCCAAGACCAAAGATGAAGAGTTGACTTCATCATGCCACCTCATTATTACCTCTTGGTTCTCCATGCAACATGTCTCATATTTCCATGCATATATCACCTCAAGGTCTCTTCTTCTTCCTCTCTCTCGTTCTCGGCCGAACACACACACATTCACTTGCAAAATTCATTTCATCCTCCCTAAGTTGTGAAGAACATCTCCTCCTTCCCTCTCCTAAAATTTTCAAGGTTTAAGTGCATTCCAAGGAGATTTTTCACAAAAAACACTATCCAAGGTAAGGTTATACTAAATTCTATGATCTAGGTTCCTTGATCTATCTAAAATCTCTTCTTAACTCTCATGAAATCATAAACTTGTGTCTTAGAAGCCCTCAAACTCGAGATCTTCAAGAAAAGGGTGCTAAGGCTAAAAATCACTTCATTTCTTCCATCTTTTCTCCAAAAACCGAAACCACACCCTAAGGTGAGCTTCATATTCCTTATTTTTCTGTTTTATAAGTTTTGTGGGGGGGGGGGGGGAATACAAGTGAAAGTGTAGATCTATACGTATTTGTATGCCTTGTATGATTTCAATGCTAATATGTGTGTTTTTGTGTGATTATGATGTTAGATCTAGCCATAAACCCCTAAAAATCGAGATATACTTTATGTTAAATGATACTAGCGAAAATTATATTACTACATACAAAGTATTCCAAGAAAAATAGCTAAGTGGCTTAACAACATCTTCTTTGGGCTAAAAACTCATTTTTGGACACAAAATGTTAAAAATATAAAGTTAAAGGGCCCAAAATGACATATTACGAATTGTGATGGGTGAGATGAGTCAAAACAGTTTCAATATTGTATTTTCTGTAAATATACTCTTTTGGAGGATTAAAAATATAAATTTCAAGCTTAATGGGCTAAAAATGACATTTTCGGCCCAATAGGGCCCAATATGCGAAATTTTCCAATTTGAGGGGCTGAAACTGTGTTTTTCTGTAAAACAGTGGACTACTAGTGTTCTAAGCCCTTTTCAAAGGTTAAAAATGCTTTTCATAATTAAAAAGGACCAAAGTTGCAAAAAATTTCCAATTTGGGCCAAAAGTGTAAAAATTGCGAAAAAGAGAGGTTACAGCTGAGAAAATTGTATTTTGAGGGACTAAAACTGTTTTCAATTAAAAATGTGCTGAAAAATATCAATTTCAATAAGTTTTGATGTTAAAATGCCAAGAAAAATGGTCTAAGGACTAAACCGAAAATTAATTTATTCGAAGGGTTGAAAAAGCAAATTTACAAAATAAAGAGGGGTTGTAAACAGAAAAATTTCAATGTTAATTCAATACATCCGTTGTGATCAAATACTGACACTGCGACTACCGACGAATTACAATACACAACAACACCAAAAATCGTTATCAAACGAATTGATTCGGTCTCGAATCAATATCAAATCTGAAACTACTAACACGACGACAACCCGATTCATACATGGAAAATTTGGGAATTCAATACACACGTGAGAGTGCACAGACGTCGATACACCATCTTTGGGCTCAAAAGTGTAAAATCTTGTTTGTTGGGCCTAGCTAGCCCAATGACCTGATCTTTAGGCCCGAAGACATCAACC